GCTCAAGCCACCGGCTTTTCCAAATGACGAGAGAAGGAAGATTCAAGTTCCTTCAAGGAAACTTTTGTGCCTCTTAAACGTCTAAGATCACCAACATGTTTCCTGATCTGCTCAGCTCCGACACTTGGGCCTAAATGGTTAGGAACAATAACAGAGGGTTGGTGACATAAAGAGCGAAGGCGTCTATCCCATGCCTTGGTAAAGAATGAGCTATGTCAGCTCAGAGATGCTTTGTGCCCAATTCCTTCATCTCTGGGAATGATCAAGAGGGATTAACAGTGCCTCTTGGACACCAGCAGGAGGGCTGTGGACAGGTAAACTAAGGAGCGGCTTCTCTGATGGGCCTGACTGATAGGTGAGACTCACCTGTGCTTACATTGGTTTACACAGGGTCTGCCCCAAGGCCCTGAAGACCTCTTACCCTGGACTGGCCATTCAGCAGCGAGGATTGAGTTTCCACAAAGAACTCCCACCCATGTGGGTCTCTGCTGCTGAAGGATGACCTGAATAGAGCATAATTCACGTGGTGCTTCAAGCCTGCAGATCCCTTTGCAATGTCTGCCATCCTTTCTATAGCATGAGGTAAAAATGTTATCATCTCCTCATCTTGGGGATGAGGAAGTTCAAGTATGGAGAAGATGCAGTGTCCAGAGTCACCCATCACGTGAGTGCAGAGCTGAAATGTATTTCCAGTAAAGGCATTCTACATGTGTCACCTCAGAAGGGACTTACTCCAGCTTCAGTGCTCTTACCTCTATAATGACATCTTATATTTAAGAAAAAGGGGGAAAGAAATGGAAAAAGAAGTCCCAAAGGAGGAATCTTTCAGCTCTGTTTCATCTCTGCCCCTAAGCACTGCTGACCCTGAGTTTCTCTGAGGCCTGCGTTGCAATAGTGGCTGCTCAGAGCACTGAGGTCCACAGGCATGAACACAGGGTCAATTCCATGCAGAGCAGTGTGGTTCTGTGCCCATGGGCTGCCCTCCCTGGTCCTGCCAACCAGCCAACCCCAAGACAATGACTGACAAGGGAAGTTGGGGAGACAGTACCATGATTGCTACTGTTCAAGGCATGGAATTAGCAATGATCATTCAGCCCTTCTTGCCATATTACTTTTCTAGTCTCCCATGGTGATCCTTAATCCGTTGGGAAAATAAAAAGCCAATGGAGTCTAAGAATGAACAACGTTTAAAAAAATGATTTTCACCATGCTGGCTACCATGGAAACTGGACAGCATAGCTCCTGAGTGGACTCTCTTAGGGCCACCTGAATCTCGAGTGTCCAACAGCTCAGAGGGGCTGGTGTGACCATCAATTCCCTTCCTCTGGGGCACACGCCCCAGAAGGCAGCACAGATGTGCACCTGCCTGGGATGCACTGGCTCTTTTTGTGATGAAGTCACCTCTCTATGTGACTCATCCTACTTCCTTGGGTGTATCCTCCAAGATGTGGCATCCCCAGAGCAGAGAGTACATTTTCAGGAGAATCACCCAAGTTTCCCACACAAAGCATACCAGAGTGTACCCCTTCCCATTCCCCTGCCCCATCGCTGAAAATCAGTTCAGTAATATTCTCAGAAAAAGCAGGTGAAGATAGTTTACTCCAAGTGCCCCTGGGTGGTATTCTTGGTTTCATCCTTATCAGTATGACTGGGGGCAGAGCCCAAAGTCATACTTCCTCTAACTAACTCAAGACAACTGCACACAGAACATTCATTTAAGAGTACTAAATAATTATTATGGGTGAGTATTACAATGTAGGGCTCAGAATCTTGGGCTATCTATCTCCTTCACCTAATCAAAAGAAAAGGGGAGAACTGCTAATGGGAAACCATTCACATCACCTTGCCCCAAACTGCACCACAGCCCAGGAGGCTGCATTTGGACACATGACCAGAGAAGACTTTTTTTTTGTCTTGATTAGATGGAGTTGTCAAGTCTCTGTGATCCCTGAAGTTGAAAGGGCAGCATGGGGCTTGGGGGAGAACTGAAGGTAGATCAGGCACATTGAAAAAGAAATTTTAAAAACTATTTTGATGCCAGAGAGCCACAGACCCCCTTATGAGACTTATGGTCACATAAACAAGGAAGGGGGCTACTCGGAGAGTGCGAATCTCCTTGGGGATGAATTCCTGAACTGTTTGAATACGAACCCACATGGACGCAGAAGCGGAAGTCAGTGGGAAGAGAGGAAAACAAAACTGAAGAAACCACGCTGGGGAGATGAAGAAATGAGGCCTCTTCTCGGGCAGAGACCTGACTTCCTGTGATCTCCAGTCTCGGAGGGTAGACAAGAAAATAAATGTTGCAATGGGTCCAGACTCAAGGTGGACTTTCATGGAGCTCAAAACACACACACCATCATAGATCTTGCACACAGACACCTATAGGGTGGCTTGACCTGGTTGGGGAGTCTAAGGGAGGCCACTGAGCCCATATCTTGCCTGAAGGTTGGGCTCAATTGTGATTCTGAGTTAACAAAATCTGACCTTGAAGAGTCTTGTAAGGTCAAAGTCTCCTTTTCTTTATCCTTCTCTTCCTCCTCAGCCATTTCACTGCTCAAGTACTTAGATCACTGCTTGGAGCAGTGCGCCTAATTCTGGGTTATTTTGATGCTGGAGCTGCCTCTGGTGAGGGGCTTCCAAGCTGGCTGAACAGTTGGATATTTCGAGGGATCTCAGGGAGCCTGAGACACGCTATTGCAGAAGCAGCTCAACCCTCTCCTTATGCTGATGAAGACTTGATCCAGGGCTTTATCTCTCCTGGGAGTCTAATCCAGGGGTCTGCGCTAAGGGTCTATCATGAAAACTAGAGCTGGAAGGAGTGGCTGACCCAGTCAGAACAAGGACAGGGCGATGAGAGGAGCAGCGAGGAGAAGGCTGTGGGGGCGGGCCCCAGACACGATGCAGTGAATAAAGCAAATGGCCCCACTTGGGATTCAGCATAAGTACCGCGTGCTAACCGACAATGCCACTGGCGCATGCTTCCCATTTGGGATTTCTTTCCCCGTTTTCCTGCAACTGGAAACCAGCTGCCACTTGGGTCTGGCTTGAGACAAGCCCTCTGCCCCAGCCACGCCCCCTGTTCCCTGCTCAGCACATGCTATTCAAGATGCTGAGAGGAAGACATGTGATGTGAGTCTCTCAGCCTAAGAAAAGGCTCCCAAATCCTCTAGCCCAGCTCCAATCTTTCCCTTCAGGGGCAAATCCAACTTTTCAAAGGAAAAAAAAAGTTTTTAAATGCCCTGTACAATTGGGGGGGGGGGGGGGGGAGTCGGGAGGGAGGGAGGGGAAGGGGAAGGAAAGTCTGGATTTTCCTGAAGGTGATTTCCCTTCTCCTAGAATCCTCAGTTTTAAAAATAACCCTTAGGACCTCCGTATGAAGCTAAGAGCCTCATGCCTTGCCTCCCTGTGCAGGGATCTCCCATGAGAGACTAAAGGCAGAAGCTGATGAGGGTCACGGGCAAGGATGTCTTAAGGGGAACCCCCACACTCATATCCAGGTACGTATTGACACAAACACATGAAATGCACCAGAGTTACGGCCCTCCAGAGACCCCCCCCATTCAAACCCACTCATGCACATCCAATGTGAAAGACCCCCAGTCCCAGGATAAGACAGCGGGTGGGGGGGGGCGGCACAGGGACAGGCGGGAAAGGGAGCCAGGAGGAGCAGGGCAGGGGTGAAGCGGTGAGAGGGGACAGGTCGATGGAACACAGCGAGGGTGGGTGGGACAGGAAGCTGCTGAGAGGTTGACTAAGTCCCCAAAGCAGATTTCTTTTGAAGCCACTGACATCTCAGCCATGTGGTCACCCCCAGCGGCACACTGGGGGGTGCCCCCCCGGCAGGCTGTTGGCCCAGGTGGCAGTCAGCGGCTCCTGCCTACTTGCCCCAGCAGAGTGTTGGCGACTCTGGCTGACCTGCAGGGCTCATTGGCTCCAGGGGTGCTGAGACACCAGGCTGGACAGACACCCTATGTCTGGGTGAGAACCACAAAGACGGCTATATGGGGACTTGGGGGCCTTAAACACCGAGAGGCAAAGGAGGAGGGTGGGAAGAGTCAGGAGCTGTCCGTGAGCACACAGTGTCTGACGCCACAGGCACGGGGCCCTTTTTCTTTCATCTGTACAGAGGTGGCCTCCAGGAAAGGGGTCAGTGTCCAGGGACGAAGGATAGCTTCTACCAGGGCGAGTGGCGGGTGTCACTGGAAGCTGGGCTGGCCCCCACCCCGCCGCTGGAAGGGGGCTCCCTCTCCATGCTCAGTATTGTGGTGCCCGTGGGCTCTCCAGCTTCCCCGTGGAGAGGATCTCACCCCTGCTGGGGTTCCAGAGCAGCAAGGTGAAGAACGCGGGGTCCTCTGGCCCCCTACCACGGTCTTGTTGTCCGTTCTGCCCTTGGGGAATTCCAGCAGGACTAAAAACAAGAGGCTAATAATGCACCCACCAAACCCCACATTCTGGAACCATCCACCATGCGCACGCACTCCCAGGCGGCAGCCACAGGCTCTGGCTCCTGACTCGGCTGCCCGTTCTTACTCCTCATGGGCCTCCCGTCCTGGGCACGGACCCAACAGCTGTCAACAACACTCACGGCGCTGTATTTCCGTTCAGAGAGTGGAAGGAAAGAAAAATAAGGGAACCACCCCAAGTTGTCACACACACACACACACACACACACACACACACACTCACACACGTGACACGGCGTCACTCTGAGGCTCCAGTGGAAGGATGGATGGCTGGGGTGCGGGAGGGGGTGCAGTGGGGCAGGCGGCCTCCTCTTTTGCGGGGTGTAAGGCAGCTGGAAGGTCTGACTGGGTGCTCCAAGCTCCTGCTTCGTGCACGTCCTGGCGGTGATGCGGGTCTCACATCTTAGCCTGGGTCCTCGCCCCGTTTCCCACCACTCCAGCATGATTCCGGTGGTGGTTGGCTAAGAGGACGCCTCAGCCTCCATTCACTCCCCCTTCCTCATCTTGGAGGGGTTGCCGGTGGACCAGGAGGAAGGACAGGAGATCAGGAAGAGCAAGAGAAGTAGTGGGCTCTGCTGATACCCTCCAGGGTGGAGTGACAGCCTAAGACCTCAGCACTTCATCTCTCTGGGAGAGAATTGGGGGCAGGGGCTAGGAGCTTGGGGCATCCGCTCCTGGGGGCCCCATGGATGGCCCTTCCTGCTCTCCATCTGGGCCGCTGGCAACCACAGACTCCAGGCACTGTCCCTTTCCAGCCCACCACCCCATCCTGGTGGAGGACAGGGGTGAAGATGCCACGGAGAGTGGTAGTGTTCACTCAGTCTTCAGGGAACAGAGGGAGCCAACAGTTAAGAACTGATGGAGGAGCCATGGGATGGGCACCCTTGCCCCGCCTTGGAGAGGAGGCCACAGTGTCCCTGGAGAGGCCCGAGCCAACTCCTCTCCACCTTGGCACTGGCATTGCCTTGACTGAGTTCAGTTTTATATATGTATATTATATATATATTTATATATATATATATATATGGGGAGCGGGAGGTGTCTGGAGGGATTGGATTTTAGCACACTGTCCCATTCTCGGGTCTGGATTTAGGGCAGTTGGTCCTCGGGACAGGTTGGACAGAAGGGGCCAAGGTACAGAAGAACCCCGAGATGAGGGTGAGGCCCAGGCCTCCCCATGCACAGAACATGGACCATCCGTAGCCGTGGCTGATGTCATCGGGGAGTCCATACAGGTAGCGTGGGTATCGTGACAGCTCAAAGTTGATCCCGGCCACACAGGTGCACAGTGAAATGATGCAGAAGGTCCCTGTGGTTGGGGTTGGGGGGGAGGGGAAAGAGAGGGTGAAAAAGGGAGAAGGACAGGCAAGAGGGTAGGGAAGGGAGAGAGAGGGGAGCATTATTAGGTTTTCAAGTTTCTTGGGCTGGAAAGAAAAGATCCAGGTTAGAACTAATCTGCGCACGAGACTGACATCAAGAAATATTCACAGAGAGAAGGGCAGACACTCTACAATCGCCAGGCTCTACCCCCAACCCCCGCCTCTTTCTCCCTCTCCCTCTCCCTCTCTTTGAGGGGGACTCCCAAGAACTGGTCCAGAGACCCCGTTCCTGGTTGACTCTTGGCTGGACAGGCCAGCAGTTCAATGTAAGGGTCTCCCAGGTGGTGCTGGGAACTTCCAGGGCAGACATTGGAGATGCTCAGGGGTGCCGGAGATCCAACAGGGGTCAAGGGCATGCAAGGCACACTTTAGCTTTCTTCCTGTCTGGGGCCGGTAATCACCAGTCTAGGCAATCAGGAAGTCTCTCTTTTAGGAAGACCTTAAACACTGCATTTGCATTTCAGTGGTGGGGAGAACCAAGAGGAGGGGCAATCCATTATTATTCTAAAGCATTTGAAGCTGTCTTCAGAAACCCAGGAAAAGCCCATTTGTTACTTCTTTAATGAGGGAAGATCTCTCCCTCCCTCCCTCCCTCCCTTCCTCCCTCCCTCCTTCCCTCCCTCTCTCCCTCCCTCCGCCTTCCGTTTCTTTCTCCCTCCTTCCCTCCCTTCCTTTCCCCCCCTTTTTTTTTATTTTCTGAGGAGGTTTTGGGACCCACCTAGTGGTGATCAGAGCTCAATCCTTGTCCTTTAATTTGCTCAGGACTGACCCCTGTTGTCTTGGGGGACCATACATAGCACCAGGGGATTTATGCCTGTGTCTGCTGCATGCAAGACAAGTGCCTTAGCCCTAGCACCATTTCCCTGTGTTCTCCACTGAACACTCAGCCTATGTCACCAAGTGACCAGAAGGATGAAAAAAGCTCTGGGACCTGTGGGGCGGGCCTCCTCTTCCAGGCCCACACTCACAACCCACAGCAGCCTGAGTTCATTTGTGCAAGCTTCTGACAAAGTGAATGCTGGGTCTCCTCCTTATAAACAATCCTTAGTGCCCACACTGAGGGGGCTACTCTAAGCCACAGCACACATGAAGGGAGTAGAATCTGACGCCTATTGTTTTTGTTGTTTTGTGGGGTTTTGCTGTCCTCAGAGATTACACCTGGCTCTGTGTTCAGGGGTCACTTCTGAGGTGCTCAGGTATCTCTACGTGGTGTTGGGGATTAAACTGGGGTCAGCTGCATGTAAGGCAAGCACCTTACCCCATGTACTCTCTCTCTGGCTCTTGGTACCCAGTACCTACTATTAACCACAGAGAAACCGGTGCACCCTGATGAGGCTGGACCTTTCCTGCACATTGGCTGTGTCTCACGCAGTGTCTGAGGTTGTGTTTAGGGAGGCCCAGGGTGGGGGGAATCAGGAAGTCTAGGGGTACTGCTATGGCTCTGACCTTCTTTTCCAAAGACCACTAACTCAGTAGTGTAGGGGGCAGTGTGAAGGTAGAGAGGGTGTTTAGGTGCCTGTGCAGACCCAGACTGGGGGAGGGCTGGCTGAGAGGGGAGCAGGGTGGGACGAGGTGGCTGTCCCAAGGTGGTAAATGATTCTTTCAGCACAGGTCTTGGCGCAGGTGGAACATCATATAGAACGTGAATGCCTGGGTGTCCTACAACAGTCACTGTATAGAAACATCAGCACCACCGTGGTTCTGCGAGAATGAGAGTCCCAATGTGGAGAGGCTGCAAGGCACCCCCAGGACCTGCTGCTGTGATGGTGGGGCAGAGTTGGACAGAATCCCGTGATGACGCCCAAGATGCAAGAGGGCACACGCCCACATTCCAGGTCAGAATCTCTTGGGAGAGGCGCTGTGATAACTGCTTGTTCCCAGCCTGTCAGATGATTTCTGTGGATCGGCCTGGGTGACTCTTGTATTACTTAGGGCAAGCTCCTGTGTCACCCTGGAGATCAGGTCTAAGTGTGGGCCTTGACAGAGGGGGACGAGAAGGAAGCAGCCTGGGGAGGGGGGCAGGGCCCAGGGCAGAGACATGGTCTGTAAGTGAGACCTCAAGCTTTGACATTAGTTCTAAATAATCCGAATTCCAACCAAGCAAAATTGGCTGCTGGTGCGAGGCTGCTTGTCATTTCTGGTCTGGGTCTCTGGGTGGGAAGGGTCTCCCTCACTAAAACTCTTAGCAGGAGGATCTAGGGTGGGTGGGTATGTGTATGCACATGTGCAGACACATGTACCACGTTCAAATCTGTGCTGTTAACTATGACGTTAAGTCACTTGGAATCCCGAATTTTGTACCCGATAGAGAGTTCTGAGCCAGAGAGATGAACTGACTCATCCTCTCATAACTGGAAGCTCTGATACGGCTGAGGTCACCCAAGGACTTGACACCAACTCAATCCACACAGGACACTTTAACGGAGACATTTCTCCTCAGAAGCTGCACTGACCTCCTGATGAGGTCCAGTGATTTGCTCTGGGAGACAAGGTTGACCACAAGAAGTCGTGATCTGCCCAAGTGGCCAGTAGTGGCAAAAACTTTCCATTTTAGTATATATATATTATATGTGATGACCTGGTCCTGGGAATATTCATTACTATTGCTCGAGCGGGCCCAGTAACGTCTCCATTGGAGACTTTGTTGTTACTGTGTCTGGCATATCGAATACTCTCGGTAGCTTGCCAGGCTCTCCGAGAGGGGCGGAGGAATCGAACTCGGGTCGGCCATGTTGGCTGCGTGCAAGGCAAACGCCCTACCCGCTGTGCTATCGCTATTCATTACTATTAATATTCATTAATAGTAATTTTCTCCTCCACCCAGATCCCCAGTTTGGGGATGAGTGTTAAGTCTCCCTCCCTGCCCCAAGAAGAACCCTGGCAGCCGAAAACCTCCAGAACCCAGCCACAGCTGTACTCAACACCACTCTCTAGACTCTCAGATGAGTCTCATGAACGAAGGAACCGGCAGAGGAACCCAGGTGTGACTGAGATCTCCAAGCCCGCTTGGATCAGGATTGGGTTTCCTCCACCCAGATCCCCAGATTTTCCAGTAGCTTGGCAGTCACATCCACAAACTGCCCTCAGTGCCATGTAATCTCATCAATGGCCAAAATCCAGAGACTATAAAACAAAGCTCCTGGAAGAGAGCGATGCAGAATCTCCTGTCCCTGTGAACTGTCTTCATCAGGGCCCCCTCGGAGTGGGGCGGGTTGAGTTTCCCTACTTGCCCCACAATGAACCTCAGCAGCTGAAAAACTCCAGAATGCAGTTTTTTCTCTTATACTCTAGCCCAGCTCTCAAAGAGCCTGGCAAGCTACTGAGAGTATCCTGCCCACATGGCAGAGCCTGGCAAGCTACCCGTGGAGTACTCGATATGCCCAAAACAGTAACAATAATGGGTCTTATTCCCCTGACCCTGAAAGAGGCTCTAATATGGCAGAGTTGGGAAGGATGATTCATCAGGGCTGGGATGGATGGAGACATTACTGGTGCCCGCTCGAGCAAGTCGATGAACAATGATATATATATATATATGTGTGTGTGTGTATATATATATAGTGTATATATATATATACATACATATATATATATATATATATATGGTAAAGGTAAAGGTAAAGGCCCTCCCGTTGATCGTCGATTTGCTCGAGCGGGCCCAGTAACGTCTCCATTGGAGACTTTGTTGTTACTGTGTCTGGCATATCGAATACTCTCGGTAGCTTGCCGGGCTCTCCGAGAGGGGCGGAGGAATCGAACTCGGGTCGGCCATGTTGGCCGTGTGCAAGGCAGACGCCCTACCCGCTGTGCTATCACTCCACTCGGGGCTGGAGTGATAGCACAGCGGTAGGGCATTCGCCTTACACGCGGCCAACGACCCGAGTTCGATTCCTCCGCCCCTCTCGGAGAGCCCGGCAAGCTACCGAGAGTATTCGATATGCCAGACACAGTAACAACAAAGTCTCCAATGGAGACGTTACTGGGCCCGCTCAAGCAAATATATATATATATATATATGGGCTGGAGTGATAGCACAGTGGTAGGGCGTTTGCCTTGCACACAGCCAACATAGCTGACCCGAGTTTGATTCCTCCGCCCCTCTTGGAGAGCCCGGCAAGCTACCGAGAGTATCTCGCCCGCACAGCAGAGCCTGGCAAGCTACCCCTGATGTATTCGATATGCCAAACACAGTAACAACAAAGTCTCCAATGGAGACATTACTGGGTCCACTTGAGCAAATTGATGAACAACAGGAGGACCGTGATTATATATATATGTATATATATATATATATATATATATATATATATATTTACAAATGGGGTAGACAGGACACACAGGATGTGGCCATCGAATAAAGATATTTTGTCCTGGAGATCTAATGGCCAGCTGGAAATACTCCCACTGGTAGACAACATGCTTTTGTCATGTTAATAGGAGAAAAATAGAGGACCTTCTGGATGAAATGTGGTAGTGGTTCTTGATTTTAGAACTTCCTGAAATGCTATTGCTTTTTAGCTTGTGTTCTTCCCACATGGGAAGAACTGTTCTGGGCTCTCACTTAGCATGGTGCTTGAGTCAGGGTCACTTTCCTGCTAGGATGTCCAGTGCCACCCAGAGGGCAGAACTGGAGCAGGTTCTGTTCCTGTCCACACACACCACTGCTCTATGGGACAAGCTGGAACTGGGACTGTTACAAACTCAGTCTTGACCCTGAGCGTCAATCATTGGGACTGATTCTTGAGTCCCTCCAGGGCAAGAACTAATGAATACAGCACACTCTCTGTTACTCCACGGCCAGATAAACAACACAAAGACCTTGTACACTAATAGTCCCTGGGTGGAGGAGAGTGGGAATATGAGGACTTTTCCAACCCAGCCTTCAGTTGAGTGCTGAACCCTGACCTTTGGTTTGATGATTCATTGGGGA